TTGGTACTGGATTTGCAGCCAAGTTGACCCCCCCCCACCAATCATGTTTGCAGGTGGCACAATGCATCTCCCCCCTCTTCTGTCGCAGGTGATGCAGGTGGTGAGGGAACAGATCATGCGAGCTCTTACCGCCAAGCCTAACTCCCTGGACCAGTTCAAAAGTCGCCTGCAGAACCTGAGCTACACAGAGATCCTGAAGATCCGTCAGTCCGAGAGAATGAACCAAGAAGACTTTCAGTCCCGCCCCATCCTGTGAGTTCACAGCCGGCAATTTAAAATGACCGACATTTTGCACCGTTATCTGAACTGGTTTATAATATGCAGTGAAGTCAAATTACCTGCAAATCTGATTTATGGCACGTTAATATACATTTCAAAGCTCCACCATTGCATTTTAAGCTAATCAGTTGAAACCCGGAGTGAGTGTTAATGTCTGTTAACGCAAGACTAAATGTGAGATAGGACAGCACTTAGTTCCTGTTACCAAAAGAAGTTGCCAACCTAATGTCCCCTAATTTGGTGTGAATTCCTCTGAAGTATTTCACTCACACGGAACGATTTAGTGGTGATAACTAGTGGCTAATTGCATTGACGTTTTAGCCATAGCAACTCAAAAGATGCTTGTTAATATGTAATGAAGGTGGTAGTGTTACCATGTTAGGTTTCTCATCCAGATAGGTCGCAAACTGTCTTTTAAAGGCCTGAATGGTTAAAAAGGACTGTAAATGTCAGATGTCCTTGTCCCCTCCGGCCACGTGCTGGTCTCTCGGCCTCTCTAATGAGCCAGACAGGCTGTGGGCTGTATACATTCCCCGCCACCCTGACCAGCATCTTTCAAACAGGGAGCTGCGGGAGAAGATCCAGCCGGAGATCATGGAGCTCATCAAACAGCAGAGACTCAACCGGCTGTGTGAAGGAACCTGCTTCAGAAAGATCAGCTGTCGGAGGCGCCAAGGTGGGTCCCCTGGCTGTCACCTGGGCACCGTCATGCTCATAAGTATCATGGTCAAGCGTGTCACAGACTGGTTGTCACAGTGACAGATGTTCTCCAAATCACTGTCACTTCAAAGTCGTCCAGAATGGGCACGTCAGCACTTTATCTTGACTAGATAAAAATTGTTTTTTATCTAGTTGTCCAGTTTCTTGTCTGACCTTAACAACCTGATGGAATCAACCTGTATTCCTTTCGAAAAAAAAACATTTATTCTGTTTATAAGGTTTCTTGGTCCAACCCTACCTTTGCAGCTTTGATCTGGTTATTCGTTTCGAGTGACTTAATGAGGGCTCTGTGTGTGAGGACCTTTCCAGAAATGCATGGCACTGACAGCGGCCTGACATTTTGAAATGTCCAGAGTTGTTATCCATCGAGATCTGCATTGTGCCACAAGGTTTTTTTTCTTTTGTCACACCCCCTCCTCCACCCCCAAAAGAGACCCTTAGCTGCTCATACTGCGATGTGCCTGTATCGATCCCCATAATGGATCGACTGACTGATTTGATCTGCTCTCTGCTGAGGAGGCCAGATGCTGCACTTAACGTCAGGATCGTATGACCCTTAAGAAGATAACCGGACACTTTGAGATCCTGCCCGGAGGACATATTACATTCCTGACTCTATTATGGATGCTGCAGTCCCCTTCAAATCTACTATACTATATATTATACACACACACACACACACTCAATATATATATTGAATGGTACTTTTTTATATATATATAAATATAAAAGTAAGGACCATTCACTCAATGTGCTGTGAAGCGTATACATCCTGTGGTTACAGCTATAAATCTGCTGCTCTTCTTCTGGCTAGAGCAGCTTCTCCTTTTTGAGTGACCCTCAAGCCGTGACAGCTATAATAATAATAATAAAATAATAATAATAATAATAATAAAGCTATAAAGCTCTTGCATTCCCATCACCAGCATTCTGTGGATCGCTGGAGCCCACATTCGCCCTCACTTGCTAGGATGAGCCGAGTAATGTCGGGAAAGACTCTGAAGGAAACCTTGTCTGTTTGCCTGTTTAATTTAGCACTTTTCACAGTTGGAGGGGACTAAATTACCCAGAGGCCCGTTTTGTCAGCTCCCTGTTCCTCCTGTGAAGACTTGGCTCCTCCTCTGCCGGGTCACACTTTCAGTATCCTGCCCATCTTCCCTCAAAGGGAGGAGGGGAAGCTGTGTGGCATTCCTCTCTCTGGATTCAGGGTAAATGAATTGGCCCAGCCCTCGGGGTGTCATTTTTGCAAGCTGTAGAGACCGGCTTTGGTGTGATGATCTTTGCATGTTTGTGGAGTGGGGCATTGAGATCAAAGTCATTACATGAACTGTCACTGGACTATCGTGACGGCCATTCTGTCCCCCGCCGTTCTTTATAGGGCTGGGTCTCTCTGCCCATTTTGCAGTTCCCCGACCCAGGCAGAGGGTGGCACCGATCTTGGCACAATTACAAACCAGCCCTGCCATTATCGGAAAAATAAATCACCCCCCAGTATGCTGGAGACCCCTGCCTTCTGTAGCATTTTAATTAGATGAGTTAAACCTGAATTAGCCATCTCGCGTGAGCACTTGGCCGAAAGCCTCACGGACCCCTTAACAAATCATCTGCTTCATCAGCAGAACGCCCGGGTAACGACTCCCCGTTTGACCTCTGTGTTTGGTGGGATTCTGCAAAAAGCGGATTTCTGTTCAGCTTATGCGTGGTATTCAGAAGCTGACCTTGCTGGGGGGGGGGGGGGGGTACATCACACTGTGTTGTGATACTGCACTGTACAACACCAACATGCACCATGCAATATAGAATTATACTACTCTGTGCTATGTTACAATCTATTAAGCTATGCTACACCACACTATGCTGTTAAGGAATCCAATGCTATACCAATTAAGTAAGACCAAATTCTCAGACTGCTAGCATTTGGCTGGGTCAGCAGAAGGCAGGTTGTGTAGTTTTGGGTTATTTAATGTTTGGCCCTTAAACGTGCTAATATACATTTTCTGCTTCATTTGTGGGTTTGCAAGTTAGATATTTTTGCCGTGAGAGTATAGGGTCCGGATGTGAGGATCATGCCACAGACGATTCTCATTTTTAAGACCGTCAGCAGTTGCTTCCGATGCCACAGCCTTCCATGGGCACCCCATAGATAAATGCCACAGGACAACCTGCCAAGTGTCTATTTTCAGCGTTTACAATTTGGACGGGTCATCCCAGTCGCTCGCCAGCAATCGCCTTCCTCGCCCCAGGCTGTCCTCACCTGCTCTCCCAGGCTTTGGCACCTTTCTACCTGTCCAGACACCCTCCCCAACCACCATAACCCTCAGCACCCAATGGTGCCTGAACACTGCAGGTCCATGAGTTTTCGTATTAAAATATGACATAAAACCCGCGCAAAATGGCCGTCTCTAAACCCTCAGCTTTTCTCCCCGTTGTTCACTCATGGCCAAGCGGCAGTTTTACACTCTAGACGCCCAACCACCTTACTCTGTCCTTCAGCTGTCTCTCCTCTCCATCAATCCCGCAGACAAGTTCTGGTACTGCCGCCTGTCGCCAAACCACAAAGTCCTGCACTATGGCGACCTGGAGGAGCACCCCCAAGGAGAGGTGCCCCATGACTCCCTGCAAGACAAGCGTGAGAACTGCTCTACTGGAACGTTCAGCTTTAGAAATGGGTTTTAAACTGTAACTCACTGCAGATGAATAGTCATCAAATGTAAAACGTGACTTTGACGATCGCCCTGGAAGTTTAAAATGATGGAGCAGCTGTTAACAGTTTCTCCCCGTCTCCGTCTGCCTCCTTCCCTCTGAAGTGCCCGTGGCCGACATCAAAGCAGTCGTGACTGGGAAAGACTGTCCACACATGAAGGAGAAGGGGGCCCTCAAACAGAACAAGGTAAGCTCGCCTTTGACGTCGTCAAGGCTTGACGCACCATGAATCGCAAGTCGGTCTCCTGAAGGCCATCACATAGTGGCACTCCTTCCCATTTAGGCCCCCCTCCTCCATGATGATTCATGGGTTTTTATGGATGATCCATGGAGTTCACGTTAGGAGAGGGGTGGGGTCAGATTTAAAAAAAAAAAAATTTGGCTAGTAGACATGAGGTGTCCAACCCAACTGAGAAGTTGAAGGTAATGAGCCATCCGGGCGTTTAATAGACGCACAGTGTCAAGATGAGATTGATGCAAGTGATTCTGGAGGAGGAAGGGGAATTAAATGTCAGGGACACCATGATAAGGATGGAAGAGGTCATGAGAAAAAGCCCAGGATGGATGAGGGACCCTGTGGATCTCTGCACGTCACCAAGGCTGTCCTTGGAAGTTCACCTTGGATTGAATGCAGTGCTAGTTGAGCTCCTTCTGTCTGACGGTGTTCTGGCCCGTGTTACCACCACCTTCCCCCTCCCCCGCTGGCCCTATTCCTGCTGAGAGTTTGTCATGTGAATCCCGAAAAGAATTGGAGTGGGAAGCTAGGTAGCCAGCTGAGCTGACCTTATTGGTCCAGCAATTCACGACATTCTTGCCCAGTAGTGGCCACATCGCACACCATCATAGTGGAGAGTGAGTGAGTCATAGAGGTCTGAAAGAGGTGAGGCCACACCCATCGGAATGTACCAGAGTTGCTCGTACAGAATAATGACTCCAGCCAGGTGGAAATGCATTCAGAATGGCTGTTCTTAAATCTGCTTGGTTTGACAAAAGGCAGTTCTACATGAGAAGACCTTTTTTTCTTAGCAAAGGTACCGTGAAACGTCCAGCTTTCTCAAAGCAATTAACTTGAGGGTGTAATTGACTGTAACCATTGAGATTCTACCAAGACATTCAGTAAATGTACAGTGCAAACACATCCAGTCCGTTTTTACTGGACAATCCGCTTGGGTCGTTGATGCAACAATGATCCCCGGAGAATTAGAATTGTTCAGCTGTATGTGACGGTGCTAATTCTGTGTAAGACAGCTGATGAATAAAAAAAAAGAGAAATTGCTTTATTGTTAGTCTATTTTTTAAAATAGGTTTTAGTTGTACTGAATACGTAAACAAGGTTTTGAGACAAATGAACAACAGTTAACCGTTAAATGTCGACGTCAGCTGGGCAGGCAGCCCGTGTTTTTCCCAAAATTTGTCGTGCAGGGCTTGCCAGTTTAACACTTACCATGTCGGAAAATGGGCCTGTCATGGTAGTATGTGAGGTGTACTCCCTCATCTATGATCTCGACACACAAAATGCCGTGTCACCTGACGAATCACCGTCCTCCTCCGCGACGGCCGAAGGAGATGTGTGACAAGCCGTCTGGCGTCTACTATCTGTAGAATTTTGCGATTTGGCTGAGGGGAAAAAAAACTTGACAGTTCTGGAGGGAGCGGTTGAATTTCTGTGACAGTGTGGCTTATCTCGTCACAGGAAGTTCTGGAACTGGCTTTCTCGGTCTTGTATGACTCAGATGAATATTTGAACTTCATCGCACCCGATAAGCATGAGGTAAGTAAGGATTATTCTGATTTTCATAGACTTTCGGCAAGCTTAAAGAAATTATCTTGGAAATGAGCTATTACCATGCAATGGGTGGAAAATGAGTAATTTACAATCAGCAGTTATCTTTCTTTGTGCTGACTGATGTGCGCGTTTCCTGTGAATCCTGTCTCCGATGTCTACATCATAAACTCGCATTCTAGTGAGCTGCTGTCAGTGACCATGGATGTGGGTCTCATCATGGGCAGTGATTTCATTGTTTGGCATGGTGTGTTTCAGTACTGCATGTGGACAGACGGCTTGAACGCTCTGCTGGGGAAGGAGATGACCAGTGATTTCACCAAGACTGACCTGGACACTCTGCTAAGCATGGAGATGAAGCTCCGCCTCCTCGACCTCGAGAACATCCAGATTCCTGAGGCTCCGCCCCCCATTCCCAAAGAGCCGAGCAACTATGACTTTGTTTACGACTGCAACTAGCTACCAACTGGACCAATCATTTCTTACCTGTACTGGAAAAGAACCTTTTAAAATGACTTGTAAGGAAAAAGAACAGAAATGGGTCAGTCTTCTTTTTTTGCCACAATTGCTAAAATTACTTTTTTAAAGGTGTATTTTAATGTATTAGCACTTAACAACTTTACAGTGAGGCCTTCTGAAGTTGTTACACCACCAGTGAGGCCATGATGGCCAGTCCTTGAAGAGGCCACGAAAT